GGAAGCCCCAGCAAACTTCAGCATGAGCTTCCAAAGGGTCAGCGCCTCTGGGATGGCTGCTGGCAGCAAAGCGGGGCGGGGGGAGATGGAAAAAGCCGAGGAAACTGCGGCGTGAGTTACTTGGAAATGAAAAGGTCAACGGCGTAGAGGTCACCGCAGGCAGTGGACGGGAGGATTAGCTCTGCTGTTACGGCACGGTGCTTTCGTGGGTGGTATGTTATGTTTGTAAATAATTTGCTTTCCCATATTCCCAGAGGTCATCAAGGGTCTTTCCAGCGGCTGCACTGGCCCCTGCGCCGGCGTCTCCGTGGCTGTGAGGTACTGCAGAGAGAAGGTCCCCGTTCCACCGTGGGTGCTGAGACACGCTGCTGTGCACAAAGCCCACAGCTGATGGCAGACATTGACTTAACAGCTAAGTTACCTTCAAGGGCGGAGGGGGCGGGGTGTGGAGAAAAGAAAAAAAGAAAGCAAAGGAGAGAGAAGGAATGGGGAAACTCCTACCCGTGGGAAGACAAGCAAGAGGGTCCCTGGACAAACAGCCTCTCCAGGCCAACAGCGAGTCCCCACGATGTTTTTCATGGTATAAGAAAATTCATATATATATGAATTACATATATATATAAATTCATACATATATTTATACATGGTAGATGTATAGTTTGCCTCAGGACCCACTCAAGGTCCCCAGCTCTGCCTGTGTGCTGATGGGACCAGGGGCGGGTGCTGCATGCTCTGGCTCTAATTGCTCGTTAAGTACTGCGTGTGCGTATTCCTGGGTAATGATCAACGACCATTATCTACTAACGAGAGCTGGTTTTCCCTAGTACAAAGACGTAAACTGAAATCTGTGATGTGAAGGGAGGAAGAAAGCAACGACCCTCAGTGACAGTTGCTTCCCAGGAGAAAACCAGACGTGGGGATGCCTGGGAATTTGCAGGCACAAGGCTGCGAGGATCTTAGTGCTTTGGGTGCAAGGGTAAAAGTGCTGCCCCAGCAGCCTCTGAGCGTGTAAGAGGAAGGTCCCAAAGCTGATAGTGAAAGGCAGACCACAGCACCCCAAGTGAAAGGCTGCAGAGCTGCATTTGGAAGGTCCTTGGCATTACGTTGCTTGAGGCTCATCTTGCCCATGGAAAGGATTTTCCGGGACCCCTCTTACAGCCCCTTGACCACCGTGAGGGTACTGCACATCATGTCTGCTGCTGCTCTACCTGTAGTCCATCCCAGCTGTGTGGCCGCCCTTGTAATGTCAAGACAACAAAGTCCCTCATTTCTAGAGCAGAGAGGGTCTGCAGCCTTTGAGGCTCACTGAAAGTTTTTTCTAATAGCGTCAACAGGCTAAAGATTTATGTCTTTGCAAATCCATGTACCGTGAGGAAGAGGATCTCATCCATCAGCCTTGTCTTGTTGGAAATGATGCGATGTAGCAAGGAGTTCTCCCGGTGGATGTGATCCATCTGCTGCTTCATGCTTCCCAGTAACTCACTGTAGATCTGCAAGGACTCCTCCACTCTGTCCACCTCTGCCAGGGCCTCATCAATGGAGTTTATCAGCTGTGTCACCTGCTTCTCAGAAGAGATAATGGCTCTAAGGTTGGCCTGTGAAATGGAGAAACAGAGGGCTTCAGCACCTTACCAGGGACTGATCACCACCATCTCAGAGTCAAATATCCCGACCTTCACCCTCCCGAGTCAAAGGGAGGGTGCCATTGTAACGTGCAAGATGCTGTTATAATTGCAGCTGTGCTGCATCGCTACCTGCACAAGGTCAGTGTCTTATCTTTGCACTGGACTAAAGCCTACACCAGCAACCATCTGCAAGTCCCAAGCGTCAGGACAGAACAAAACCCTTCCCTGATCAAGATGTACGCTCAGAGGACTTTCATCTGCCATGGCAGAGGTAACTGCGGAGTCACCAGGCAAGTCCAACCATGAGCAGAATACAGTCTTTTTAGGTTTGGAGAGGGTACCGAGCCCTGCTGGCTTCTGCTTCTCCCACTTTTCCCTCTGCTCTAGGAAAGTCCCAGGTGGACACTCCCCAGGGAGTCTCCAACACTCAATCCCCACAACTGGTGAAGTCCCCTGAGGACCTGGGTGCCCGTCCCACGGTACTGGTAAGGAAGCACGCCAGCTTTGAGGAACTGGCCACTTCTGCCTGGCTCTACCCCATTTATGTAGACCATGGCCATGCCAAGTGCCTGTCACGGTGTGTTTAGCACAGCTCCGGGCATTGCCACTGCTGCCAGCGTGTTACCCGGCTGAGCTGCTCTGGCAGTGGAATTAATAAACGGTTAAATCATGCATGAGACATGCACATATATATGTCTCTCGTATGGAAACTGAAGGCACAATTTGCCCAGGGAGGTCTCGGGCATTTGTTTTGACGGGCCGTAGAGATGTAACTGTGTGTTAATCGCTGCTGACAAGCTCTGCTTCCAAATGTTAATTGTATGGTTTTCAGGGCCTGTGTACCATGCGGGATATCAAAGAAAACAATCAATAAACGCAAGCCTGGGAGGCTTCCAGACTGCTATTTTTCTCTCTGTTAATAAAGCTTTTAAAGAAGTTGGTCTTTTCTGATATCAATTATCTGGCGTGTTTGTTTTTTATTGAATGAAGAACAGCAGAAGCATCTGCAACCCCCGGTACGCCCTGGTGGGAAATGACAGGAGGAAGAGAAGCAAAGTCTTGTCAACCCAAGTCCAAGTGGCTCGGACCTTCTGGTTGCTCCGAATTAGGAACGTGTCAGAAAGCACACGCAGTGGGTGCTGGGCATCTACAGTCCCTGTGTTAAGGGATTTCCCTTCTTCACGCTCCACCTGCATTGCTCTCGGGGTAAGGATGAGCTGGCAGCTCCAGCTCTGGAGGTGGCACGTGCGGGGCAGGATGCTGGAGGTGCTGCTGGAAGGTGTGAGAGCCGCTCTGCGGCACACACCTGGGGCTGGCCGGCTTCGGTCTCGCCTCCAAACGATGGATGATACTCTCCTGTGACAAATGTTGTGACTTTTCGGGAAAATGTGGGAGAAAGGACTGTGGGGAATGGCTTTGGACGTAGGCAGGTTCACAAGGGATCTGGAAAGGTCAGAGAAATTCTGCAGAGAAGCCTGACATCGTAGCGAACGCAGCCAAGCGTCTCCACCAAAAGGCAGAGACCCCACTGCAAAGTGATGCAGCTTTCCCACGGGGAGCCCGGCGGCTGCTAGCCAGGCAGCCCTTTCACTTGCCAGCAGGCTCAGCGGTCGGCTCTGAAGCGGGGCTTGCTCATGCACGCAGCTACCCATCTCCAAAAGCACCCTCCCTCCGACGCCAACAAGCGCTTTCTTGCCGTTGGTGCCGTGTTTCGCGACCCCCAGAAGGGATGGGTCAGCGGAAGGTGATTAGTGTTGTAAAAGGAGGACAAGGTGTTATCACTGGGATGCGGAGCGAAAACGATTAAATACATGCATGTGCTAGTCCAACTTGCTGGTATTAACAGCACTTAATATCATCGGTTAGACCTTAGAAATAGAAGCACCTCATTAATTAATTTCTATTAGCAATAAGTGACATTTATTCATTAGAGGGCATTAAAATAATGTATTCGACAGCGCTTTTCGTCTCAAAGAACTTAACGGAGATTCGTTAGTTGCTCGCGTAGGGTATTTTACAGCTGGGAAACAGAGTCGCAGCGCCTGCACGGCTCGCCGAGAGCAAGCGGGAGCGGACCTCGGGAGTTTGGTCTTCTAGAACAACCACTAAGTTTCCAAGTGTAATAAGTCATATATAAACACCGACTGGGAATACAGCAAATATGGGAGAAAAAGGGGGTTGGATTTAGGGTTTGTGGGTTTTCGTATGTTTTAGGATATTTCCTTTGGCTTATTTTTTTCCCTTTGTTCTTCAGTTACCTACCCATAAAGTCCTAGCGCCAGATACATTAGTGTAAGATAAATGCTCGAAGCAGCTATCATCGCATTATTTTCCTCCAGCACTCAAAGAAAGAAGTTATCCTCTGCAGAAATGCAATAAAATACAGCAACTCTAATACAGTAAATAAAGCTCACCAGTCTGAAAATAACGTGTGCCTTCTCCATTGGTCCTTCCTACTACAGTTTGTCTTCTACTATTTATCTCTTTCCAGCTCTGTTTCTTTTTTTCTTTCTCTTTTTTTTTTTTTTTTTCTCCCCAGCTGCTGCTTTTCCTTCTCTAGGGATCATTGTTGGCCCTTTCCTTTTCTTCTAGGCATCACTGTCTGGCAGACCACCCTTTCTGCTCTTTACCACCCCCCACTTTTTATATGTGCTTTTATCCCTTCCCTCCCTACTCAGCAGCCTTTACCCTTCCTACCCAGCTTTTATCTGTTCTCCCCTTCCCGAGGTAACTAATGTGCTTGTGCTCAAGTTTAAAAAAAACAACCAAACAAAAAAAGAAATAACAGGAATTTTTGATGTGTCTGTGATTGATAGCCCCCATGGCAACGTGGCGGGACCCATCCCCATGGCTTTTGCGTGTCCTGCTTGTGGATGGCCACGCTGGACCACGGACTGCAGACCTGGCCGTGGGTCTGGCAGGAGCCCGAGGAGCTCCCGAGGGGTCTGGCAGGCTAACCACCCCTGTGGGACACCCGGCCCCGTGCAGACAGAGAGGGGAAGACACACAGCGTGGGCATCGTCACCACGGTTTCCCCTTGGAACCGTTCCCGTAAATAGTTTCCAGACGTGGTTAAGGCTGTGGGATTGCCCAAGGTCGCCGCTGACCTGGCTGGAGGCACAGCCCGTAGACCTAGCAGTAAGGGCCAGCGGCAACGCCCTAAGGCGAATTTCTTCTGCACTGGTGACTAGAGAAATGAGGGTCCTAATTCACGCTGCGTGGGACGCAGAGACCTTCTGCGCAGTGCAAAGCAGATCCCGGAGCTCCCCACTCTCATCCAACTCCCTCAGCCAGCCCCAGAGCACCCCACTTCGTTTCGCCCCGCGGTTAGAGCTTACCCATCCCCGGGTTGCCCCCAGAAATTATAAATTATAACCCCTCACAGTCGGGGTGCGGCTGGGCTACGGATCCTTCCCCACAGCTGGGTCCGTGCCACTGTCTTGTTTTAACCCTTTGCAAAACTGACAGCGGGCTTTATCTGCCCCGAGTTGGTCGGTGACCGTGTTCATCGGGGAGACAACACCCAAGCCAATGTCTCAGGGCGGTCAAGCTCAGCGGAGACGGACATTCTGTCAGTCTGCAGCTCCTCGTTCAGCCCCTGCAAGGGGCAGGCAGCCCCAGCAGCGTGTGCAGGGGGACAACCGCGGACCCTCGAGAGCGGAGCCGCAGTGTCCTCCGGACTTGCAAGCAGCACACCGCCGAGACAGCTTGCCCCCAGATCAAGTGCCCCCAGCAAATGAAAGAGCTGCCGACACCCGGAGACTCAGTCCAGTGCCCCTACGCGCCAGGCACCTTCTCTCTGGTGGAGTCACAGCCCTTGGTCCCCTTACCTCATCCAGCACATGGAGATCCCTGCTTAGCTGCCCTGCAAAGGCCACGGAGTTGTTCATGAGGGGCTTGTACTCCTCCATCAGCTTCAACACATCGGCGGCTTCCTTTGGTGTCATCTCCTGGTAGGTACTGGGCTCCTCCTGATCTCAGTCTCCACAGCGTCCTTCCTGTCTTCCTGGGGCCTTTGTCTCCCTGCATGGACAGGAGGAGATGTGGAGATGGCCAAAGCCTTCTAGTTACGTCGTTTTACTAGCCCTGCTAATGTTAGCCGCAGGGGTCCCGGTGGGTCTAAGTGACATGAGTCCAGTGGTCTCAGGCTGCTGATGAGTTAGAATAAGACCACGGCATGGAGCAGAGGAAGGTGTGGCTGGGATAAAGGGTCAGCTTTGTAAGAGGGACAAAATGGACACTTGGAATTTAATTTGAGCTCTGGCTGTGTTTCTACTTGCTCACCTCTCTAGGGTTGTGTGTTGGGGCATGTTGATATGTTTGTTATACAAAGCTGAGACAAATTTCAGAGACAAACAGGCTTCTTCTGATTAAATATACTGATAGTCATGTGTTGTAGAGTCAACGATATTTTTTTATCCATATATATCTGTATTTCTTGATGCACTGCTGGGGAATATCACCAGGCAGGCAGCCTGTCTCTCCCTGGCCTGACATTACCACCGTTTTACTGCTCACCTTCCCCAACCCAGAGTGCAGAGAGCATCCCTGGACATGAGATAAACTGTTCATCTGTTTTTCTTCCCAGCCTAGCACTGTGTCTCTGTGGCAAGGGTCCGTAGATAAATCAGGTGGCTGTGCCTCCAGATACACAACACTTGGATCCTCCCGCTCCCCTCTGACTGGTATCCACCTCAGCCTCTCCCATCATCCGCGTTCACTGTTTGAAATTTATTCACCTCCCGTTCCTAAAGCAATGATAGTGATGATGCAAAAAGCCCAAACCACTCTGTGTGTGACAAGGAGACTAATTACCTTCCGCTGCACAGGAGGGGACGTTCACAAATGTGATAGAGC